AACAAGAACCCCCAACCCCCCCTTCTAAAGCAAAACCCCCCTTCCCCCTCAAGAAGATCCCCCCCAAAAGATTTTCCCTCCCTTCTTCTAAAGAAGACCCTCCCCTCTTCTAAAGAAGACCCCCCCCTCCCCCCCTTCTAAAGAAGAAAAGAAAGAAGACCCCCCTCCCCCCTTCTAAAGAAGACGTCCTCCCTCCCCCCCTTAAGAAGATCCCCCCCATCCCTCTATCGAGGGGATCTGGTTCACTGGGGCTGCAACTGTGGGAACCATTGAGAACCCACAACCGGTCAAAACCATAGGGCCAATGGAGATTGGGCAATCAACTCACAAAACCCAGGTTGGATTCCCAGCCCAAGACCACCGCACAACAAAAATAGGCAGGACGCTTGCCATGCAATCGTACCTGTGCTATACGCAACAAGGTTCCATGCTGTTCGGCCGGTAAAAGGATAATGGGATCACGGTCAAAGTTTTTTCCAAGACTAAGCCTATCTCATGAGCATGATACAGTGCTAGTTTGCTCTTCCTTCCCAGTGTCTATTTGGTTTGACACCTTGGATCTCTCACCATACCAAGGGCACAAGACTGTTGTTGATGTGTAAACAGCGGTCGATCGAAACTGCAGTGCATTTGGTGAATCCCTTTGCTGAAAAGGTTTAACCAAACCAAATCTCATAATCACATGAGTCACATGTATGGACGGATGGGTAGATGGATGAATGGATGGGTGGATGGATGCATGCATGCACATGTTGACATTATATAATTATATATCGATATGTGCATATGTTCGGACACACACATCTATATATATATATATGTATATGTATAAATAAATATGCATCTATATATATAGATAGTATGTTCGTATCTATATGTATACGGACAAAAAATATAACATATTTTATATGATTGTAGGCGGAAATCGTGTATTTACTTGTTTGTTATCTATGTTTGTAAACCTGTCTACATATGTCCATATGTACATATATACACATGTGTACATATCTAAATGTATATGTATATGCATAGGTATATATGTATATATTTATAAGTCTAAATATATAATATGTGAATGCAATGCATATCTACTATTTATGTATCTATGTAGGGCTAAACATTGTCGATGTATGTATATATGCATACAAATATATTAACATGTGCAAATAGATGCATATGCATAGGCATCTACAAAGTGTAATATATATATACATGTCTATGCTGTATGCAAATGTAAATGCACATTATATGTAATTATACATATATTATATATCAAAAATATGTATATATATATATGTATATACGTAGAGAGAGAGAGAGAGAGAAATAGAGAGAGGAATAGCAATTCCAGATGCGTTTTACAAATCTCATGCGGCAACGTCCCCGATGCACACACTCGCCTGACTCCAAGCTACCACGGAGTTTCCCAATTCTTACCACAGAATCCAGTATTTTGATTCTGTCAAATCATCTTCTTCACATAAATTCAAAGCACGGAGCCTTTTTTTGCGATTTCCACACAGAGACATGCCAGCTGTGCAGGTGGCGCAGCTGGTATTCCGTGCTATGCAATACTATGCAAATCGGCGGCCTGCCGCAGCAGTTCTGGTGGATATCCCAGCCACAAAAAAGACACATTGGGGGATCATGTGGCATCATCTCAAATAGAATAAATAGGGAAGTAATCCCCAAAATAAATAAATACATAAAATATAAATAGATAAACTACCATTTCGATCCATTTAATTTAGGGGGATGTTTCTTATTGAACCTTCATCAACGTTGAGTATGCATGGTGAGTTTGTACATTGCTCAATCCGATCAATTTTAGGGCACATGATGATAATTTCATATCTTTAAGAAAATGGAAGCAATGCATTGCTTTGTGGGATGACTATCATCATTTTCAATGAGGTTGTTGTAAGGTTGTCATGAATTACTTAATCTAGAAAGTGAGTCGCACATATTGTGAGCCATAGCTGCAACTCTATCACGCAGGTTCCTGACCAGTTGCTTGAAGGGATTGTCATTAAAGCAGAAGTGGTCCCAAGGTCCCAGCCCGAACATGTGAGCTAAGAACCTGGAGAAATACATGTTGATTGATGTTAGTAATGCAATAGGAGCCACCATCCCCAATTTTACCATAAATGGGTAAAATTAACCGTCAAAATATAGGTGGTTCATTGTTGGCCTACAAGCATTATTGGCAACCATTTATGCCAAGCTCCGGAAAATCCTGTATAGGTTAGAAACCCTCTTCTTCCAGAGGTTTGCCTATGGAACAAAGAGCATTGACAGAACCTTGCAGTACCCTTTCTCTTCGGACAATGCGCGTACGCTTTCCGCTTGAGGTTTTTTCAGTTTTCTGTCAAGGCATCCTAAACACCACAGAATTACAAGGGATTACAATGATTACAAGGGTCATAACTAGCCCTAAGGCCAAACTACAGCTCGGATCACACACCTTCAGCTTCCCGAATCCCACCTCTACACCGCTAGAGCCCAGCAGTTCAGGGGTAGCCTCAGAGAAAAAGTATGACGTGGAACTGGCTGCACAAATTTCCGGCACACGTTTTTTTTGGAACACTTGGCAACATTCCAACTAAACCATGCTTTTTTAGGAACACTTGGAAGTCTTCCAACTAAACTGCCTTGGCATTTAATGTAACATGATCCAAAGGACTCTATCCGTATGCACATGTTGAGTCTTGCCATGATCTTGGTCCTGCCCAGCCACTCTCCTGACATGCGGAGGACATCAGCAAATTCCTGCCTGACATCACTGACAAACAGGACATGGCATGGCAGGGCCCTGATTCCAATAGGAACATTGGGAGATTTACCATGGTGATGTCAAACCTTATGACATAATACCATATAAAATCCATATAATATCATGGTATATTATTTCATAGGTGGCTCTGTTCCATCAGGAACAGGGCGGCTCCCCTGTCCAACTCAGGGCATCCCCAAATCCACTGGTGTATCTTCATTGTCCCTATGAAACGGCATAACTTGATACAATTTTGGGGGTATACCGTATGTATATATATATATGTGTGTGTGTGTGTGCACAGTATATACACATGTATATACCCCAGCATCAAACACACCAAAATCATATAGCTATATCCCCATTATATCCGCAATTATATCATATATCCTTATTATATCCATTATATCACAATGAAATCATGAAAAATCCATGAAAATCCGGCCTCACCAATGCTTCCGAATCCTCTGGAAGGAGAAGCCACCCCTCCACCTCTTCAACTTCCTCATCGAATTGCCTGCCAGCTCGACTCAAGTCCCATGGTTGCTGATCACATTCCCCCCAAAAAAGAAATATACAACAAACGCTTTTGGGAGATTTTCAGGGTATGCCCCAAGCTTCAGTACCACTCAAACGCATGTTGTTTTGGGAAGCAACCTGTTGTTCCAAGGGCTTGGATGTCATCTCGTTCAAATCTCCGTGATATCAGTATATGAATCCCTCAAAAGGCTTGGTAGCTAATTTTTCTTTTGCATCTTCCTAACAATCCTTGCAGGTTCTAAAGGTAAACTTTCTGACACATTTTTGGATCCAGGTAGCCGGCCTCCAAAGTATCTTCGTATATTTCTATCAGTCTATCTATTGGTAGGGTATTCTCCCTATCCACCTATCCATCCATCTTGCTGTTGCTGTATCTCTTGCACGACACTGCTTGCTACATTGGCCCGAGTTCCGGAATGACTCAACAGAATTAGCATCCCAAGGACCAAAGGACACCATTTCATCAGAGGTTTGCGGTGGGCACCGGGTAGGCTCCAGATGCTCCAGATCCTCCAAGTTCTTGAAATTAAAGACCTGGCCCCAGCTGGAGGTTCAGTCATGGGGGTACCCCAGCTGGATGGAAATTCCCATCGACGACTGGTAGCCCCATCGGAAACTGGGGAAGGCCTTCATCTCCACCTCCTGCACCTCGAGGGCCTCTTCCCGTGGACACCAGCCCACTGCCGTTGCGGCCATGGAGCGAATGAACTGCGGCAGGGTGTCACGGCGAAAACATGGCTGGGAAACCCCCTATAAAATGCAGATCTTAATGGGAAATCATCTATAAATCATCTATAAATGGTTGATTTTCCCATTGCAATGTTGGATTACCGGAGAGTAACGCTTAGGAAGAAACTCCCTGTATTCCAGCTGGCGGATGTAATCTCTTCTCCCTATATTACAGTACTAAAAGGTGTCGGGCTGGTAGAAAACCGCAGTACGAAATGCATTCAAATGTTAGTTCGTTTTGCTCTTAGAATATTCCAACAAAACAAAAACCCTGTAAAACAAAGGAGATTTGCTCATGCACCCAAAAACACGCACGAGCTTCTACCTGCCCGACGCGTACTAAAATTCCCCCAATTAATAAATAGGAATGGATTGGCAATTCCGTTTTTTTGGTGGGTTACAATTGCGTTCTTAATTGTGGTAATTGAACATCAATGAGAACAGGATGGTGAAATAATGGTTTCAACATGTTTCAACCCCTATTAATAACAATAGAATGATACCTGGAGTTTTTTTTTATTATGGTCCCATCTCATAAGTTTTGTTAATTTTCTATTATCAAGGTTTTCATTGGCATATGAGGGGAAAGCGTCGAAATACAGTCTTTGGCAATATCTTATATAGATTTTAGTAAGGAATTTCAGTCGATTTTGAAATCGAGTTTTTCATTTTTATTATTAAGGTGTTCATTGGAATATTAGAGGCACCCCAGAACAAAATACCCCTAATAATAAAATAGACCACCATGTTTACCGGGGTGGGGTGTTTAGTATTAGGAAGCAGAGATTAGGTGTTTCATTACATGGCGAAGCAGTCCCCAATTGAGGTCAATTCAGGAAACTAGTCACCAGAATATGCCTCACTGGTGATACGCGTGCAGCTGGCAATCAGCTTCCTACCTTGTATATATATATACATTTGTTCAGATACTGCGCGAGAAACTCCCAGCAAAACACACCTATTTTAATGATGCCACATGCAGGAAGACATGGAGATACAATGCAGAATATTGCATAATTATCTAGCACAGGCTCCATCCGCTGTTTTGAGCTTTGACATCTTTGACCTCTTGAAACACAGGTTTCCGAAAATACAGTGACAAATCATTGCCAAACTTGGCATTAAACCCCGTCACCAAATATGCATCTAGTAGTTGATCTAAACATATCTAAATGATTCTAAATGTATTTGCGTGTAATTTGTCCAGGAATGGAAACTGTTCGTTAACTCATTCAGAAATCCTGGGATGGAAGATGTCAATACCAACCCCAAGCCGCACCTGTCCCCCGGCATAGGCTGCTGCTCGCATCCGCAGCACCGGCGCAGGTGGCGGCGCACGCGCTGCGCGGCCAGCGTCGATGGCAGACTTGGAGAACCCTAAGCCTCGCCTGGGGCGATGGTCAGTGGGAATTTCAGGACCCTGAAATGGAAGTACTGTATTACTGTGCCCTCTCTTTCTCTCGCCATCCTATAGTGTACCCTATATCTCTCCATCGCCATCCCATATATGTATAGTCAAGTACATTATAGTACCCTCAAGGCCAGATTTTGTGAGGATATTCCCGTATTGTGGGGATAAATTGCTATTGAGATGGGGTGCATTTGGCTTTTGCCGGCCCACAGGGGTACAGTACAATTAGCGGTAGTTGGGTTACAGTTTGGAATTTTCAACCGGCAAAGACAAAGCACTATCATTGGGCTTGCGGATTCAATCGCAGCTCATCTCTCATCTCAGCCTTTGAGTTCATAGAACCCCCTCACGCTAGATGGAATGTTGGGGTGATCATAGCATGTCTCTTTTGCAATACCATCCTCAGTATCTCTTACAGAGTTCATCCTTTCAAAGTCCCAATCTACAGTAGAAACTTGGCTCCAAGGAAGTATTTGAGGCCAAGAACGCCCAAACTCTGGCTACCCGAATGGGTAGCTGGACATTGGCCCCACTTAATTCCAAGAATTATCATCAGTGTTCAACCATACTGGGGTCTGACCCATTTTGAGACAACTCCAGATGCTGATTCCTGCAGGAGCCCTCAATTATCAGTTGTTGTATAAACCGATAAACCTATCCAATCATATCCAATCACAACAAACTACCCGTCCCAGTATTGCTAAACACCATACCTATCATGAATCAACTCTAGTATACTATAGTATGCTATAGTATTCATATATTAATCCTCCAATTTGTTGGAGGTTCAAATCCAATTTTTCTTGGTAAAATCCCCAGTTTCAAACCCATCTCGGGGAGGCCAAGGTTGCCATGGTCACCGAGTTGCTTCAGTCGCTCGATGCCTCCGGCCTCGGCGAAACGATAAACAAGTGAAAACAAGTGCTGAGTTTTTCTGAGTAAATAAAACACAAAATACTGTATTGATGTTTGATGTAATATATATATACTTGTTAGGCACTAACATGTTTTTTTGATTTCCAACACGTAGTTGCATGTATAATCATATATATATATATATGTGTTTGATCGGTCTGCTACAACATGGCCTAATCTGGCAAGGAAAAGAACATTATATTAGACATTATGTCTATTCAAGTCATTGTAGTTGGGCCAGCCCCCTGAAAAATAGATGGGTCATTGGTCATTAGGAATCGTCATCCAAAGTGGGCCTAAAGTAAAAACTGTAATCCATTCCCCTTGTCACTGTATACACCCCCAAGAGGACTGCGGGTTTAGTCGTCGATCTCTTCAGCGGCGCGTCCCTTACTCTTTGTCATACTTATTGTTGGATCTTTGGGGGGTGTAAAATGCAAACCACCAGAAAACAATACTTACCCTCTGGTAAACTAACATAGCTATTGAAAATTGCCATTTATAGTTGAATTACCCATTGAAAAGGTGATTTTCCGTAGTTATGTTAGTTTATCAGAGGGTAATCTTCTCAATTTACGACTTACGTACGACTTGCATGGGAAGTATTTAAAATCCTGCCCAACGAGGGTGGTCACTATATTGGGTTGACCGCATTACAAACCACCAACCAAATCTGCGTTCAGGAACTATACAGGGGAAACAAAAACATTGGCTCTACCGGCTCCGTGTTTTCTGTTCGGGGAATGGTCAATGAAATGGCGGGTGACAAACCTGACAATTTGGGCCAGTGACGATATATCCAGAGCTGGCTGCAGGAACATGCTCTGCACAAGCAACAGCCTGTGATACCCATGGCAATGCAGAACGTGGCAATGCAGAACTTTGTTGAGACTGCCCCTTAAATGGTGATTATTTAGTAGAAATATATATATATATATAAAGATAATGAACCAGTGAACAAGGGTATTTCTTTTTTTCTTCCCCCCCCCTCTCTCTCTCTCTCTAATCACGTGATCGATTGAAATTGCAACTTAAAAAAGCACCTCTGTCATCATTGTCTCCTCAAAATTGCCGCAAATAGATGCAAATAGGGTATCCCATGGTATCCCCCTAATCCCTTCCCCCTACTACTAAACCTACCCACATATAAAACATGTAGGGTCCATTGTTGCTGGTTCCCGACACCTGCCAGGTTCATCTGCGACTCACTGTCAGGTTCAAATATCAACATCATCAACATCTTGGAAGAATCCAAAGAACGCTAAATTCCTCAGCACCACTATCCCAAACGTGAGTAATAACTACTAGTAATGTCGCGATAAGTTACTGCCTCATCTTTGGAAATGGAATGCTTTAACCAACATCGGCATATGATTAAGGGACATCACAGCATGATAATATACACGAAATCCAAAAGTCCGATGGATTGCTACGGGAGTCAAACACAAATTTGCCCAAATATGACATTTTGCACATGCTCGCTCGCTTATGCCGCTTATGCTCAACAGGGGGGTGGGGGAGGGGCAATAACATGGTTGACGAATTTAACACTGTTGGCCAAAATGGCAGTTCCGTTTCCAACATCAACATAAATATGTGCAGAAGTTGGGCCAACTCTTCAAACCGAATCTCAGCGGCTGAAGAAAGACAAAGCAGGGCCGAATAAAATATGAGAGCTTTGCGCGCGAAGGCATATGTTGATACGCCAATCTTTTTTTAATGTTGACCTGATTGTGATGATAACAATAATTATTGTTGAAGAAATATAAATCACCGTAAAATACAAGTGCTATGCCCATTCCTGACTCCAAATCCACAACCCCAATGATGAAAAACCCACGCCCGTGTCAAGGCGTTGTTCCCTTGTTTTTTGTGGCAATTGAAAAGCAATAGGAAACCACCACAACATGTGAATCAGCCCAACGATATTTAAAACTAGTCAGCCGTGGGGTGCTTACTATTGGAGTCCGCCTTTTGAAATCCACAATAATTTTAGCTGTTGCTTTACTTTAATAAAGGTGTTGATTATTAGCAAGATCTTGGTCGATGCTGAAATCACATGTGTCTTTTCTTGATCAAGTTGTTTTTTAGAAGGAAACCTCTCACCCCAATACTAAATACTGATACCCCAATAATAGAAACTAGTCCAGGCGTTTCTTTTGCGTTGGAGGGGGTGTTTAGTAGAGGGGAAGATTCATTCTTGGACCAACCTACATGTCCAATGCTCCCAGGCCTGAGCCTCGCTAAGGACCCCCAGACCTGACTGCTTAGCGCTGGAAACACGTAAAGCATGGAAAGCTGTGGGTCTTCATTTTTCATGGGTTCTTAATTCAATATATTTCAATGCAAATCATGAATCAATATCATCAAAATCCAGGAAAATCAATTGACGCCACGCAAATCAACCATCTGTGGGAGCTGGTCGGCTCTGGACAGGCTGAGCTCCCCCAAAATCCATGTCTAGGCTTCTGGATGGATTCACCCGCAAGGTTTCACGATTGAACTTACAGGCATATTTGTTTCTTAGTTTTTGTTCATGACATATTTTTCATTTCCAATACCCTCCAGCAATCAAACATGGTTTGCCAGAAAACATCCAGTTATGTGATTGTCAATGTTTTCCTATGATTTTCATATCACTTCCCTATATATGTCCTATAGCTTTTCCCATATGTTCCCAGTTGTCTCGACCGGCCAGTTGTGCCATGTCCGGCCTGAGCCAGCCAGGCCGATGAGTCCGGAGTTGCGTCGCCAGGAATCCTCCCTGTAGTGGCCCAAAACGATGTCCTGGAGGGGTCAGCCGGGTCAGCCTGTGATTTCCGGTTTCTGCGTTGAATTCTGAGCTAGTTGGGGACACCAGCTTCGTCAACCCAGGAGAATAATGAGAATAATATAAGAATCTGCAGACAGCACCGCCAGGAACAAAGATTCACTAGCAGGTCAAAAGTTGCCACTTTTTCAACTGGATGTTTACAATCCAAGGTGCCAGGTGAGTTCAAAAAACATCATTTGGAACTCTGCCCACCTGTCCTCTGCAGCGCCCCAAGCCTCATGTCCCAAACAACGCCTATGGCATTCCAAAAGCATGTTGCAATTAGGGTTACATGTCCTTTGGTCATTCTCAGTTGCGCAATGATGGCAGATTCTTGGGTTTTACGGATGTCTACAATATATGATTGTATGAATGCACATGATTGCTTTTGAGAACCAATGGAGGGTCTTTTTGGCAGCATTTCTGTACTCATTGGTTACTCAATGAGTATTTCTCTATCAAGCAAAACAACCAGTGGCAAACAAAAACATGGCGCATCTCGTAGATTGAATACCTGCTGCTGAAACCACTGTTGAACGCCAAGTCTGGTTGGTGGTCGAAACACAGTGACCCAAAATGCCAGAACAATTGGAATTAATTGGGGGTAATCACGGGTAATCGTACCAAATAAACTGATATATGTTCAAACATCCCATTTTTAATTCTGGAGTTCCAAGGGCTTTCAACGCGATATGAGAAATCAATCAGTCACAGGGTCAGTCCCCCCCAAAAAAGAGCTGCCCTGCCCAGGCCACCCAGGATGTTTGGAGGTATCCATATAAAAGCCGAGGTCCTGATAAAGTCTCCATGCCCCCAAGATTTGCACAAGTTACACGTAAAAGAAACACTACTGACTTGGCACAAACAATCATCAACAACATGATGACGAAGCACTAGTACAGTACTGCAATGTAATTGGCGCGTATGTTTCAGAGAGTTGTTTGACATCTATACTCTATAATATACATACATGTATATATATATATATCTGTATATGTATATATATATATATATGCATGCATGCATGCATGCATGCATGCATGGATGTATGTATGTATGTATGTATGTATGTATGCATTTACAAAGGCATAATATATAAATATGTTAGTGTATGTATCTCTTGGCAGGTATACATGTACGTCTACATATTTGCTTCAAACAGAAACACCAATGATGATCATGAATATCATTATAATCCAAAGAAAAACTGGGAAGAACTCCATCTCTTTCCATATTTTAACAGCAACCCTAGGAAAAATGGCCAATGCCCGGCAGTGCTGCTCCAGTGACACACACCGCCGGCGCCACCACTGCTGGGATGGGACCACCAGTGGCTGCGGCCGCGAAGACCACCACGCTGCCGCAGGTGTTGATGCCTGAGGCCAGCTGCCTCAGTACAGATCATCTGGTTGGTGGTTGACCTACCCCTCTGAAAAATATGCTCGTCAGCTGGGATGATGACATTCCAAACTGAATGGGAAAATAAAATCCATGTTCCAAACCACCAACCAGTCATTAACTAGACATAGATATATTAACTCTTAACTATGTAAATAACTGTTATACTGGTATACGTTTTATAAATCTTTATAATTTATAATCAATGATTATATTTAATTATTTGATAACTTAAATTACTCATAACCATCATTAACCATTCTTAACCATTGTGGTCAATACTGGGGAATCAATGCCATAAACCACCCATGACTGGGTATGGTAAACATACTGCCTATAAACAATGGTGATGACTGGGGGAATGGTTTATGATTGTTTTACCCACATTTTATAGATGAATATGCATGTTGAACAATGAAGATGTAAATGATGTATACATATGTATACAAGGTATACCACACAAAAAAATAGAGCAGAATTCCTGACCGACAGATTGAATGGAGGAAAATTATTCTGACCCAAAAATATCCTCCAAGGGTCATTCCTATTCTTTCATGTGGTTGGGAAACTCTTATATAGGTGCCCCTTGGTTCGCTATTTAGTCGCACTTAATAAAACAGGAAATGTGGATACCCATAGCTCCTTAGTTCTCTCCCTACCACTTGATGGCTATCAGAAGGAATGTCGTAATTGTATTGCCTTTGAGCTTGCAGCCCCTTACCAAAAGAGGCACATGATGAAAGGACTGCACTGTAAATATCCCAATCCAATCCATGGTTCGAAGTTTCAGTGTACCCGTCACAAAAATGCTTTCAACATCTGCGGTATGTGCTAGAGGCATCTATTTTGATCTGGCAAAAATATGCAAAAACAGTGCGATTTACCAACCTGAAACACAATTTTTGGTGAGATCGCTTGCATAAAGGCCCTAGGAATTTGCAGAGCTCATATGATCTACCCTCTCGTATGTAATCAAACGTGGCAATTGGAAATCCACTGGTTTTAGTATTTTAGTGTGGAAATTGTATCCAGATTTTTGTTTTAGTTTCCATTGCCACATGTGATCACCGGATTGTATTAATTATGTCGCATTTTTTTTTAGGGGCCCAAAGGCCGAAAACGCCTCAAGATCCACTGTCCACCCGTCTCTTCTCAGGTCAAACTGCTCACATCGCATCTCAGACCAGCGGATCACCCTGGCCATGGGGTAAAGTCGATTAAGTCACCAAGGATAATAAATGGCACATCCTCTGGGAATCGAATGTGGCAATACACCCTTTTCCGAAATGTTCAGCACTTGGAGACTTGGAGTTCAACAGCCTGTGGATTTCTTCCTCAGGTTGCCCTGACAAAATGTCTTGCCAACAAGTGATTGGAAGATATGGGGTCCAAATGATTGACGACTTGGGCACTTTAATCATTGCACAATTGCGATCACAAGTGCCCGAGGAAAACACAAAACATGGAAAACAAAGAAAGTGCATGGATACAAAGCCCGGTTTCACTTGTAAAAATGGCAAAAATGGCGGAAACATGTAGAAATGATGGCATGTACCTGGTTCTTGGGATTATCTCCCGTGCTGAACAGATTAGGGCACGAACTGGGCGCTTAGCTTGTCCCTTATAGCACTATTCTTTCCAAGATCATGACGGCGGCAATGGAGCACCTGATACGATTGGTACATCTTGGGCAACGGTATTCGACACCGCCAAAGGGAAGATCCGATGGTTCTTTTCCCTGGCTGAGATTTGTGATGTGACCCTGAAACAACGCAGGGGGGACTGTATAATTCATGAGAATCTCACCTGAAATTAGTTTCGATGGGTTGTCTCAATTGTCTCAATAGGGGCATACGTTTTTCTATGTTACCACCCTCTCGCCAACAAACTGGCAAGCGGCTGACGATTGGCTTGAATTGTGCACACTAATTAACTAATTGGAAAGTTCCGTTTGCGGTGTTGTACAACATGCAACAAACCTGAAATTCTTGGTGGGTCGGTGGCGGTGGATTATGTTGATCATACCAATGCAACAGACTATATGCCGAATTTGCATGCACACATAGAACCCACTTACCTACATTCATGTAAATGTTACCTACGTTGATGTAAATGTGCATCTACCTCGATGCAAGTATGCATCCATACAAACATGAATGCGATCCATCGCCCTTTGCAAGAATTCAGCCCTAGGCCAGTGTATCTCTCTCACTCTCTCCCTAAACATATATATATATATGATATAATATAATATAGAAACATTTAATGTAATGTGATGTAATATAATGTAATATTAATGTAATATAATGTAATATTAATGTAATATAATGTAATATTAATGTAATATAATGTAATATTAATGTAATATAATGTAATATATGTATATATATATGTTTACAATACATACTATATTAATATATTGTTTGTGATGCTTCTGTGTGTCCATACGTATATACATATACAGTAGTACTTAAAGAATACGCATATATACACAACAAACAATATTTGTACATGTCTTTCCTCCATCTATAATTTATATATATATATATACATGTCCACGAATTGAAGTACACACTCATGATCAGCCACATACACGCAATCACATCATAGGCTACATAATGGTAATATGTGTCTCTCTCTCTCTCTATATATACTATATATATATGCTGTAGTTCAAAATAGTTCAAAGAGACTCAATTTATAGACCTTCCCATCACTGCCAAATGAACCCCCTAGCAGATTCAGCTGGCAATTTTCCAGGAGGAACTTGGTACACATTCCCTGCCACCAACCATGGGCTGGGTTGGGTCTATTGCAGTAGCAAATTGTTATGACTCTTTGCGGGGCACCTCCCTAATAAAGCAACCACGGTATATGAATCTGGGATTGGCATTACCCATTTTGGGGGATATTGGCCGATGTCCCAGGTTTGCCCCAGCTGCCATGAATCCAAGTGACAAGATCAGGATCAGGCAAAATGTTCTGCTCACAATAGGGGCACTTACACAGCAGCGGCATAGGCGGGGGCGTTGTCGGTGCACGGTGACTCACAGGGCACCAAGCACCCACCCTCTCTAAATTGGATTTGATGCCAATGATTCTAGCATCACGCGGTTGTCAGCAGCAGGAAGATAATTTATGCGATTGACTGCAAGTGGAAGTCCCCTAGTAGAACTAGCCTGGAAGAGATTAGCGTATGTTACCAAAACCACCAACAAACTCAACTGGAGCCACAAAGTCCACGAAGCCCTTCACCATCCATGTGCTCCAATGTTCCTTTGCATTGGGCCGTGGGAAAACCCCTTGACATCTTTCATAGGTTCATAGCACAAAACATGTTTGTCAGGACTGGGCAATGCACCTCTTAGGTAGCGGCTGCCATCCTATTCAGTGCCAGTTCTCTGTGCGCAATTTATTTTGTATCATGTCCAGCTTGAGTGCTGACACTTGTACCAAATTTGTCAGACCATCTAATTTCCAGCTGAACAAATTCTGTCCCGGGCTCTATCGCTACTTGACCCATCTCATCCATCCTGATCATAGTTTCAAAAAATTCTCAAATGGATTTCCTAAAATGGGGATACCCCCAAATCATCCATTTTAGTATTTGGTGGTACCCCCATTCTAGGAAACCTCCAAGTATGTGTTATGTCCACATCGGCTTACTCATCCCCACCACAAGTACACCAACCCTCGGGACAAGTAGTAGTAACCCATAGCAATTTTTAACACGAAAACCGTTCTTGATGGCAGTTGTGTGTTTTCCCCACCTTTATTTTTTCTTTGAGCCTGAGCTCGCACTGAAATCTCAAATTCCCCAAAGATCTGAATGCCATCGATTCATTGAAGTGACTCTTTATAATTATCTAGGATATGTCCCTGTAAAGGGTGCAAAATTCCCTCAGACATTGAAACATCGTTTCAAATTTCGAGATTGTTTTTTTGCATATATAGTGGTCCTTTCATCAGAAAAAATGTGGCATTCCTTGAAGAATGTGTGGAAAGTCGTGGGCTTTTTCTTCAAAAAATGTAACATCCCTGAGGGTGATGCAATATTATCTTAAGATAACGAGCCTTTATTCCAAAATGTAATCCTTTTACATATGCAGCACTCTTTCTGAATTTATATGGGTTTCCCTTTGAGCATAAGGGCTTATTTTGGGAAGAAGTACCCTCTGCAAAATGATGGAAACAATTGATTAGGAATAGTGCACAACTCTTTATATTGAGCAAATGAAATAGTTCACCTAAAGAAAGAGCTGTTTTTTGACAACAAACAAGGAACACACAACCTTTTCAACAGGAACATTCCAGGTGTCAAGAACATTACCTTCTATTTTTGCAGGAACATTGCTTCTTGAAAAAAATACGATGTTGTCTTTTGGGAAAATTGCCATGTGCAAGCAGCATAGTCATCTTCACAGGATGTTCAATTAAGATTGCTTTGATGCATTCTGCATATTAAAAAGGTTGCTGTAAATTGAAAGGCGCGCTACATATGGCACAGTAATGTTGCCTACTTAAAGGGATACCATATCGTTTGGAAGAAGATTGTGTTTCAAAAGGAATGCTGCATCTATGACTATGAGAGTATTCCTTCATAGTTTTAGGGTCATTACTTGCTGAAAAAGCATTGTATATTCTCAAAGGCAAATTGCACATGAAATGTGCTTCTTTACGCGAAGGAGATGCGTCATTGTTGCAATTAAAATTACATTGTAGAACAGGAATGCGCTACTATCTTAAACTCATGCTATATATTATGGGGAAAAGTGTCCCCTTCAAGGGAGGGCTGTACATCTTTGAAGGACACCCTGCATCTCTTAGACAAAAACGTGATTTTTTGCAAGGGATAGTGGAAGGATTCGTGCAACAATTAAAATTAATGAGATGAATCTCTTATTCCTGAATTGTGTGTACTTACAATTTTGATCCTTTGCCTTATGACTCTAACCTTATGGATTTTTGGGAGAAGGAAAGTATGTGCTTAAAGGTGCAATTTGTTCGTATCTGGTTCAATTTCATTTAGGATTTGCAAAAAACAATGCCATTTATATCAATTTTCTGCCGCTCACAACAGGCCCCTCCCTTTAAATTACAGTAAGCAACTTGTTCGGCAATATTCAAAATTCAAATGGAAAAGTGAACTTATGAATTCGTTTCCAAATAGGCAGCTTGCGGAGTCCCCGAAACACAAATTAATCACACTGTATTCGCTTTCAATTAGGCAATTCGTTCGGCAATACTGCCAAGAGTCCCCCAAAAGTATGCTGGCCTCAATAATGTCAAGTATGTTTGAGGGTTATTCATGTCAACATTATATGGGTATGTGACAAAATTGGATGCCAACCTTGGATACCCCTGGGCCAACAGGAGGGCCCGGCTCAAAGCACAAACGGTGGCTGTGAAGCTGATCACATCCTCGTTGGGCACGGATGCATCAGTGGAATGCATGGGGCAACACATTAAGTAAGAAACAACCAATTATATGATATGATATGATATGGTATGATATGATATGATATCACATATGATGTCACATATGGTATCACATATGATATCAAGTATGATATCATATGATATGCTGTCATATGAAATGCTATGGAATGATATGATGTGATACGATGTGAAATGAAATGATATGATATTATATAGTATTACAGTAAATGAAATGCTATGGTATGAAATGAAAAGACATTACATGATACAATGATATATAAATAAGGGACACACATTGCAATATATATATATATATTTGCCCATCATACTGTACATCTGTATAACACCGATATACATTGATATACACATATCATCAAATAATATCTACCCCTGTACTGTACATGCTCAGGTCTCGTTGGCAGGACTGGTGATGGTTTGTGGATTGGAGGGGCAGTCTGCAGTTGAAACTCTAGTTTTTCCCATTGAAAATTTGGATTTCCTGCAGATTTTCCCGTGACATCCTGGGAATCAAACAAATATCGAAAGTATTGCAACATACGGACTGAACCCACAAATTCATACCAATTCAAAACACAAACAACTGGGGGCCCCTGGCATCCAAGCCAGACTCTGACCTCATCTGGAGGGCGCTGGTTGAAGATAAACAGGGCCGTTCACCCAAAAATAGTGATCATCTGCCACCAACAATCTACGGTGCTGGTTATTGCTGGTTGGTATCCCTCTTATTGTTGCTTTTCAACTGCCAGAAGCAAACATATTGAAACCACTTTTTGTTGTAGATGTGAGCTCAAAAACGTGACTCAGCTTGGATACCCTGAATAAGAAGTTGTGAATGTGGGGTACCAGCTGGTCCTTGATACAAGTATGAGAAACCCATTGGCCCATTGGTCAACATTTGATCAACCATTCGCCAGTCGCTCCACCGAGCTAACTCCGCCTTTTTATGGATAAATTGTGTGTTTTCTTGGCTGGAATCTATCTATGTATCTATCAATCAATCAACCAATCTATCTATCTATTTATCTATCTCCCTCTCTCTAAATATATGTATGTATTGTATTGTATTGTATTTGGTAATTGTATTGTATTGTATTGGATGGATGTATGGATGTATGGATGTATGGATGCATGCATGCATGTATGTGTGTGTGTGTATGTGTGTATGTATGTATGTGTGTGTATGTATGTATGTATGTACGTACGTACGTATGTATGTATGTACTGTATGTATGTATGTATGTATGTATGTATGTATGTATGTATGTTTGTAGGTGTGTATGTATGTCTGTATGTATGTATGTATGCATGCATGCATGCATGTATGTATTATGTATGTATGTATGTATGTATGTATGTATGTGTGCATGTACGTACGTACGTACGTACGTACGTACGTATGTATGTATGTGTGTGTGTGTCTATGTGTAGGTGTCTATGTGTAGATGTGTACGTGTGTATGTGTGCATGTGTGCATGTGTGCATGTATGTATGTGTGTATGTATGTATGTCTGTCTTTCTGTCTGTATGTATGTATGTGTGTATGTGTGTATGTGTGTGTATGTGTGTGTGTAATTATGTGTGTAATTATGTGTGTAATTGTGTGTGTAATTATGTGTGTACGTGTGTATGTGTGTACCTGTGTACGTGTGTGCGTGTGTATGTGTGTATGTGTGTATGTGTGTATGTGTGTATGTGTGTATGTGTGTATGTGTGTATGTATACACATGCCCGACCATATCAACCCATAGCTTTACCAAGCATTCCCTACTTGGTTGGGGTACACCCCTATTCCAGTGAAATCTGCAAATGTTTGCTTTGTCAATAGCCATTTTGGGAAAATACCCTAACAAACCCAAATATTATCGTGCATGTAAATTACAGTAAGCATCAATCATCCACTGACCAATGACTATTCAACAAGCCACATGCATCACAAATCTGCTCATTGTCCGATTATATCTCCCCAAATATGACCATCATTAAAGTAATTATCTTAAATCTCCTCACGGTTGCCGGTTGCTGGTTCCCAAAATGTAAAGTTGTTAAATAAGCACTGAACATTGTCATTAAAACTTTGTTGAGTATACTGGATCTATTCAATCTATTTTTTGTGCTCCATGCTGGGAGTACTGTATTCAATAATTATAAGATATTATGAATTTTATGTAGTTCATTCCAGGATAGTCAAACCACATCAAACTACGTTGAACCACCATTTTTCATAGTGAACACCCCCACTGAAACTTGGCTCCGGCAGTGCCCCCGTGGCGTGTCGAATTTTTTAGTCTGGCGAGTCAGGTGAGAGCTCGTCGCTGCCGGCACTTTTTGGCGAGGCAGCAGCACGGTGGGCCTGCAAGGATGGGAAGATGACCACTGATGTCTCAGTTAGCTGCATGTAAAATGGATGAGAAAACATGGAGAAAACATGGAGAAAACATGGAGAAACAATGAGAAAAAGGGGAACATGGGTATTCAACTGCCGACATGGTTTGATATAGAAGAATTGCCGACTGCTAGAATCGTTCAGAGTCATACTTAGCCAATCTTAGCCAGCAAAAGGAGTGGCACCGGCAACAAACCTAATTCAGCCTTTCCAAAATGAAATGACTGGAAG